CTCCTCTGAAGGCAGGTAATTCTGCTGCATCTCGACATTAGGAATGGCCGGATGAAGCATCCAATCATATCTGACACAAAGATGCAGCAGAATTTCGGGTCACCTGGAGAAACTGGCCACGAAGAGCATTAAGTCACGCCAGAGAGACGGTGGGTTCATGAGACCATTTTATTACTGAATTAATTTCTCACTGCCCTCTCACTGCAACTCAGTTTGGCAGTTAAATGAATCCCAATCAAATCCAAGAGGGTTGCAAGCGGCTGAGAGTTTTTATACGCTTAAATCCTCTCCTCCAGTCTATCCAACTTGATCCTTGCTGCGTTGCTATGCAATTTTTATCAACTAATACGGGTGATGTCTATGGTGGTGGAGCCTTCATTCAACATACCGCGTAATAATTCAGCAGGGATAAAGCTATCAATAAATGGAGCTTTTCCCATTTTTTTAAAAGGGCAAATGGTCAAGACCGGATTAAAGTCTGAAGACTACGGAACTACATCACAGGCTTTAACGCTTCAAATTAAAAGACGATCATATTGAAAATAATAAAACTGTGTATGTATTTTAAAAGAATTAATGCTGCACAGGGAGATTTTGAAATCTAATTTGGTGGACATTTCGGGTAACAGCCTTTGGGGAACGCTGTATGTAACAAAAGAAAAAGAAAAAAAGAAAGTATGTGTGACTTGCTTTATTGAGGTGGTCTAGAACCGAACCCACAATATCTCCAAGGTGTGCCTGTATAAGGTTCCCTAACTTAGGTGACTCCCTCTAAGCCTCCTGTTTTATTGCAACTTTAAGAGTACACTATGAATTTTGTTCCTTCAAACAGCACATTGTTTAAAGCAGAATTAGGAAAACTTTCATTTCAACAGCTGGCAGTTAAGGAAATGATCATGTTGTTTGGTGAATCTCAGCATTGTTCGATTAACAATAATGCATGAGAGTCCCTAAATCTGGAGGCTGCCTCGACAGCTGCTTAAATGGCCCTGATGGTTGCTCCATGCGGATTGTGCAGCCAGAGAAAAGGAGAGAGGGAAATGAAGTTGTCCTTCAATTCGAAGCAAACTCTGCTGGGTGTCTTTATACTGCAAAGTTAGCAGCAGATCATTACAGCACAATACTCGCCAAGCCTACTGACGATTTGGATCTGCGGCCCATGTGGGATAGACTGCATAATTGCTCGTGCACGGATTATGCGAGATTATCTGCACAAAGTCTTCACGCTTAAAGAGCTTTAACACACCAAATCAACGCCACAAGCCTTTCGTCGGAAGAAGCAAAGCATCACCAGTGTCGAAGCGATGATTCTCCAACATCAGCTTCGTTGGACTGCTCATGTTTGTGTGGATGCCTGGTTATTGTCTTCCAAAGCAACTACTCTATTCCAAACTTAAAAATGGAAAGCGTAATGCTGGTGGTTAACAAAAGAGGTTAGACTCTCTCAAAGCAAATCTAAGAAAATTGTAGTAATACAACTGCGGAAACACTGGCCTATGAGCGCATCCCAATTGGGAGAATAGCCTTTACCAAAGGTGTCATGGGCTTTGAAGACACTCAAACTCAGGATGAAAGGGAGACATGTGCCAAGAGGAAGGCACGCTTGGCAAACCCTCACCATGATCAACACCCGTCCAGAAACCTATGTCCCCACTGTGGAAGGACGTGTGGATCCAAAATTGGCCTCCACAGTCACTTATGGACTCACTGTTATGACCATGTTCATGGAAGACAATCTTACTTGGCTACGAGTGATCGCCGAAGAAGAAGAATGCAAGCATCGAATGTACAGGGAGACGCAGTGTGGAGATGCAGCTAGCTGCCCTCAGTGTGCATGTATCAGGTGCTCCTCTAAACAGCTGCATTGGCTCCTAGGTAAAGGAACCCCTGATCATCAGGTCCAGTCGTGACCGACTCTGGGGTTGTGGCGCATCTCTTTACTGGCCAAGGGAGCCGGCGTACAGCTTCCGGGTCATGTGGCCAGCATGACTAAGCCGCTTCTGGCAAACCAGAGCAGCGCACAGAAACGCCGTTTACCTTCCCGCCGGAGCGGTACCTATTTATCTACTTGCACTTTGACATGCTTTCGAACTGCTAGGTTGCAGGAGCAGGGACCGAGCAACGGGAGCTCACCCCGTTGCTGGAGCCAATTTCACTGGAACCAATTTCCCTTCATTTGTGTCTGTGTGTGCAACTTTGAGAGAACTTTCAGAGTAAGTGGGTACTCACAGCGGAGGGGCATGTTGAAAGTACCCATGGGTTCTCTCATTGCCCCACACCACCTGTGACTGATCTGTGGGCACTGCCTCTCACTGACATCCCAGCACAACTCTTGGGGAGGGCTGCTGAGGGGCAGCTGCATTGATTCCTGGCAGGGCTGATCACAGTTGCCTGACGACAGGGAAGGCAGCCCTGAAACAACCTGAGATGCAGTGATCCCCAGTGGGTCCTGCAGTGTTACAGGTCTCTCTGGCAGCTAAAGTATATGTGATAACCCTTTCCTCATCCAGTATATGAAGTCCCTGTCCTAGTTTTTGGTAGCTGAAAAGTTTTGCATTTCAGAATCTCAGAAATTACACACACACACACTTGCTTTTAATAATGTACATTTTAAAAGCAATAGGAGAGATTTTGTGTGAATTTTCAAATTGTAGAAACCCAGATTCAGCAGGTATATTGAAAAATCATTCTTGTATAATGCCCCCCAGTATTATATAAAACAATGCATTTGCTTTAAAAATATGTGTGTCACACAAAGAGATTGTAATTGTCATGGCCCTAGGAGTGGGTTCCCCCACTTCAGGGGATGGAATCAGGATGAGAGAGAGAATTGCCCTCAGGGCCAGTCCCAGATGGACATAACCAAGCAGAAGCAAGAGGATTCCATTGTGAGAAAACTTCTCCAGTCAGTCTCCTCTGACTCCAAGGATCCCTGCTCAGAAGCCCTACTGGAACCACTGTGTCCCACACACCACTGGAGTCAATGATTACTAAAGCAGGCTGGGCCTTTTAAATAAAGAAGCTTCTCTAAGAGAAGGTGGAGTGAACTGCTTAGAGTTGCCACCCCTATTTAAGGCTCAGTGTAAGGAAGACTGATGCTAAAGCAACATTTGAGCTCTGCTCTTATGGGGTCTTTAGCCATTGCACTGCAAGGAGCTGTCCAGGGTGCTGCTGAAGCCTTGCCTCGTCTCTGCTGCTGAGGCTTTTTCACCCAACAGAAAAACAAAATTACATTGATTCTAACAATAGTTAACTGAAGAACATTGTCTACTGGCTTGAATACTATTTCCTGTGCGAGTTACATTATCAGAGTTGCAAGGGGCAAAATGAAGAACTTGAATCCAAAGTCTGCATGTTAGTACCACCACTTGAATGTCAGTGTTACAGAATTTGGAGTTTCATTTTTGGAGATATTCCTTCACTAACCCAGGGCTTACTCATTTCCTAGTCAGCATCACATGCCTTTTTTTGATATATTGAACAACCAGCGTACAAGGCACAGAAGCAAAATACAAAGTTCCTGCCCCAAGACAGTTACAATCTAAATTCACAGAACGTTGCTGATATAATTTACTCCTGAACTTCTACAGCAACAACAAAACCACACCTCCTTTTCTTTTCTAAAAAATTATTATTATTATTATTATTATTATTATTATTATTATTATTATGCATCAACGATGCCATATCCCAGAGTTTTGGACTTTTCATCTAGCGGCCTTCTGAGGGGGGGGGGGGTATCTGTGTGTCATTTGATTTTTCAAACTACTTTTATTAAAAACCCATCTTTTCATAAACTCCAAGAATCCAATGAGGCTCACAGCAGGAGGAAATAATTCTGATTTAAACACTTTGGAGAATATAATTAAAGGAGGGGGAAAGGGAAGAAGATGAAAGAAGTAAGTCTCCTTTTAGGGAGGGGATGATTTCTTAGACATGAAAAGCTTCAGGCTCTAGCCCCCTCCTGCCTTTTGCCTTCACGGCACTTTCCATGATTACAAATACAATACTCCACCTCTATAACATGCCTCCCTTATTCCTCATTAGCTGATTCCCCCACCTGAGATAGTTGAGATAGAACAGTCCTGTAAAACACTATCTTTGACTATTCTGTGTTCTAGGATTCCCTCTGGAGCTTCCACTGAAATCTTACTCAGGGGACACTTCAGTGCAAAACATCACTCATGCGAGGACAACCCTTTCCAGCTAAAGACAGATTCCCACTAGTAACGATATTAATTTATTTACTTGTAGGGAGTGCCTGGCATTGCCCAGGAAATTGAAGAAACAAAAAAATATGGTGATATCAAAATTGGCGTTTGGGGGCTGTGCGGGTATACATGCAGGCACTCACAAACCTAAGGCTCCAGCCTAACCTGCGGAACACCTGACCTTGCCTGAATCAATTTGGGTGGGTGGTGCTAATGCTTGGATATGGTTTCTTTGGTCCACCATCTTGATTCAAAATGGTGTTTGTTGTCCAAAAGTAGATGAAGATCACTGCCTCCACTCGGGAGCCCTTGTACCGAATTGGGAATGATACCTTCATAGGCCTCTTAACTGGTCAAATTGAGCCCATCATGTCAAAAATTGGGTGAAGTCAAGCCCAAGTCATGTTTTCATGTCTGCCATCTTGATTCAAAATGGTAGTCGGTGTCCCAACAATGACAAAACCACTGCCCCCACCTCAGGAACTCTTCAAGCCAAGTTTGAAATTGGCACAGTTTGGACTTGTCGTGCCAGAAATTGTGTGAATTCACACCAAAATCACACTGACTTGATTCAAAATGGTGGCTAGTAACACAATATTGATGACAATCACTGGGCCCCCCACCTTGGGAACCCCTGTGCCCAGTTTGGCAAGGACGTCTCAAGAGGTGTCTGAACTCACAGAGAACAAACAAAACAGCTTTCCAAAATATATAGTAGATTTGTATTTTTATTTAATATCCTGCCTTTCTCTCAGCACAGGACAATGGAACAGTTTTCTCCAATGTTACCCAGTTGACACCGCCAGGTGCCCTCAAATATAACTTGGATGACTCAAAATAAATGATCAGCCAGCTCTCACACTCCCTTCTGAAGTGCTCCATTAAGCAAATGAAATAGAAATGTTTGGCTTTGCTGCCCTTAAAAAAGAAAGAGAAAAAAACTTCCTTGGAGATTAACTGCGTAATAAAAATTAAATTAAGAGGGCATAAATTTTATACAAGGCATCTAAGTGACAGGCCATTATAATGACAACAATAAACACAGGTCATATTTCTGTTGGCTGTTGTATTACAGTGTGGTGCCACATCAATTTCATTCCCCAGAGAAACAGCCTCTCGTCTCAACAGTCTTTTAAGACCCCCCAAGAGATCTGTTTTCTTTCAGCTTGATAGGCTTGTCTGATGTGAAGATGGCACTGGTTGCAGAACACAGGGGGAAATAAGGCTTTAAAGATACGGCAATCCACACTCCATTGCAAATATGGTTGCCAGCATTTATTACGAAGGGCTCCTCTGCCCTTAAATGGCCATCATGTTATCTCCATGCCACAAAAAGCTTTGGAGTTCACACAGTCTGGATTTTGAGTACAAAACTCTATACCTGTAATCCTGTTGTTTCAAGCTGTTCGATGGAAAGCTGGCGCTGTTTGCGGTTGGGTGTTTTTTTGTTTGTTTTTTTAAAATGAAACATCTTATCTGTTCAGTAAATGAGTTTTGCACACTTAATGGGATCGGAGGAATAATCTACAATGTCATCCCATTAGGAATGAGGAGTAAAGCTCCATTTCCCCTCACTTCCCTTCCCCACACAACCTACTCTCTATTTTTGTGTTAGCTGATAAGACCAGGAGAATGTTTCGCTCTGTTTGTGGCTCATTGGGAGCAAAATTAAAAAAAACAACACAAACCCAGACCTAGAAAGACACTCTTCATTCTAAGCATTATTAAACCTGGTCAACGCAGAAACCATCAAAGAACACGCTCTCTTAATGGGGCTGCAAACTTTAATTGATTAATTTGTTAAATTAATCAATTTAAAACCTTTTTTTGCAGAGCGACCCTATGTGTGTTTACTCTGAAGTAGGCCCAATGAGCAGGGGCGGAGGAAGGGGGTGCGGTGGGTGTGGAACGCCCCGGGTGTCACCACTGAGAGGGGTGACAAAATGCCTGGTGGAACTCACTGCAGGGCCTGCCATGGCCTGAGCCATGCCTGAGCCTTTCCTGGAGAGACACGGTGGCTTGGGCGCGTGCAGGCTCCCCGCTGCCCAAATGGTCCGCCAGCTGCCTCCCCCCCCCCAGCTGTAGGGCGGCTGAGTGGGAGGAGGCCAGGCAGACTCCGAGACCCTGTGGTGCGCCTCGCCCCATGGGTAGCTCGCCCTGCCCCAGGGCACACCAGTGTAGGCGCCCAAATGGCTTTCCTCTGCCATTGCCAATGGGTCAATAAGGCTTACTCCCAGGAAAGTGTGTGCAGAACTTCAACCTTACACTGCACAATCCTACACACACCTTTGAAGGTGACCCGGAAACTACAACTAATCCAGAATGCGGCATCTAGACTGGTGACTGGGAGTGGCCGCCGAGACCACATAACACAAGGTCTGAAAGACCTACATTGGCTCCCAGTACGTTTCCGGAGCACAATTCAAAGTGTTGGTGCTGACCTTTAAAGCCCTAAACAGCCTTGGGTCCAGTATACCTGATGGAGCATCTCCACCACCATCGTTCTGCCCGGACACTGAGGTCCAGTGCCGAGGGCCTTCTGGCGGTTCCCTCGCTGCAAGAAGCCAAGTTACAGGGAACCAGGCAGAGGGCCTTCTCGGTAGTGGCGCCCACCCTGTGGCACGCCCTCCCATCAGATGTCAAAGAAATAAACGACTACCAGACTTTTAGAACGCATCTGAAGGCAGCCCTGTTTAGGGAAGCTTTAATGTTTAATAGGTTATTTATTTTAATAATCTGTTGGAATCCGCCCAGAGTGGCTGGGGAAACCTCAGCCAGATGGGTGGGGCATAAATAAATTATTATTATTATTATTATTATTATTATTATTATTATTATTATTAATTCAAAGGAAGCCCGTTGAATACAAATATACATGGCGTCTGTGCTCAGAACAGCTTAACAGAACATGCGCTTAAGCTCTGCCTCAAAGCTTTGGGTGAAATCGTGGGGCTCAGTTTGGGGGTGTCAGCTGACATTGCATCTCTCTCGTGTCTTTGCATTCATATCCTCGGGTATGCTATATGCTTTTTCATGCAGTGCATAGTGAACTTTTGAAATTCCCATAGGAGGCAGTGATGGCACCCATACGAGACTGCTTTTAAAAGGATTCAACAAATTCATGGAGCAGAGAGTGATTGACAGCTATCCAGCCATTATGATGGCTATGTTCTGCCTCCACAGCTGGAGGCCCAGTAATGCTTTGAAAACCCAGCTGCTCAAAACCACACGAGGGAAGAGTGCTCTTGTGCTCAGATCCTGTTTGGGGGTTTCCATAAACATTTGGTTGGCCACTGTGAGAACAGGATGCTTGACTGGGTGATCCAGCAGGCCCTTCTTACATATTTCCCATGAGAGGGGCTCATGGCACAGGCTTTGCCGTAAAGTTGTTGACAGCACTTTCCTGAAGTGGGGGAAGGAAGGAGCCATAAACACAAAGTAAGGAGAAAGAGATGAAGTATTTCCATCATTGTTGTTTTTTTTAAAAAAACACCAAACCCACTGCCTTAAAACATAGCTTTTAGCCGAGGGAGAGGCACTATTAAAGGCAACTCTGTAGGAAGAAGAAGGAATGATAAACATAACAGCAAAATATCACCAAATGTCACTCACGCTTATTGGAGTTAAGAGTGTTATGGAAGTCAAAGATAATGTTTTTTGAAAGGTTTTTCCCAGATTTTATTTTCTCATCTTCAGTCCTAGAGAGCTAAGCTGCTGTTCTTGCCCACTTTGTGCTCAATTTAGTACAGAGAAGTTTTGGGTAGTTTGCATGGGCTTAGCTGGTCAGCTCACCTAAATATGACCATCCTGGCTGCCCGTAGAACCATCAAAGCCTTGGAGAAATTCTTCTATGCAAAAGGCGGCCAGTTGGTTCCACCAATCAGAAAAGCATTTATCAGCAAAGTCCTCCCGATGTTACTGTATGGGGTTGAAATCTGGGGGTGGAATTTAAAAACACTACAACGGCTCGAGATTCTACAAAACTCTTTTGCACGAAAGTTACTGGGTCTCCCCAAGGGCTCGGTTGCTGCACAGTTAAGAACAGAACTGGGCCTCCCCTCCATTGTTGCGAGAGCCCACATTAGAATTATTAGTTTTTATTGTAAATTAATCAATGCCCCAGGTTCCCTACTAGCCAGGCAAGCCTTTTTAACTTGTTCTCATAGCAACAAATGGTCCAAGGCCATGGAGACTATTACTGCACGCTACTCCCTCCCAGATCTTGACACGCTGTCATCTTGGGACCAACATAAAATCCGGGCCTGGATTCTTACAAGAGACGAGGCCATGGACCGGGCACAGTCCACCACAGCTCGCCTCTCCATGTGGCTCCCTAAAGTGAAAGTGGTAAGATCACTTGCCAACTACTTGATAGACCTGACGGAGCCCAATTTGAGAAGAGCGTTTACCATGGCCCGTTTCCATTCTATACCCACGGCCTTCTTGCAGGGGATTTACTCTAAGACCCCTATTACTCAGCGTCTATGTCCATGCACAATGAATGAAGTAGAGGACTTCATACATTTCTTTTTCTACTGCCCTATTTATGAGCAATAAGAACTAAGCTCCTCCTCTTGATCCCGTCCACCATCACATCTAAGGAAGACTGTTTGAAATCGCTTCTTGTGGACGCAAATCCCCAAATTTCACGTGGGGTGGCAATCTTTATAGTGCAGGCTTTGAAACTCAGGGCTACTCTGACTGGGTAGTGTGTCCTAGACCTGGACCTGTTTTAATTCTTTTTTACCTTTTATTACCTTTTAACCTAATGTGCCGAGCCTATTTTGGGCCATTATATGCATATACATCCGGCGCTGGCAACTAAATCTTTACATTATTGTCTTAGGGTAATTTAAATGTCATAACCAGTAATATCGCTTTGAATTTTGTTTGGTTGCTTGTCTCTAGCATTTTTGTCTATCCTGCTATGGCTGTATGCTAATGCAATAAAGGTTTGATTGATTGATTGATTGATTGCACTAAAGAATGCCAGAACTCTCTCTATATCCTCAGTGCAGCAATTACTGGGGGCAGTGTTGAAAAGTTTCGAAATTCTCTGGGCTTGATCAGGGCAGGAAGACAGCTATTTAGCTGAAAGATAAGTTTCACAGTAAAAGTTTTGAGCTTTTAGACATTAAAAATAAGGTGAATAATCTTTCAAAAGGATAACACAGTTGTTTCAGGAAGGACTTCTGTTGCAATTATCAGGGCCTATATAGTTATTTTGAGCATGTTATGTACATGCATATTTTGGGGCCCGCAATTGACTGTGGTCAAACAGGATTTGTTAGGAGGGAATATGTGAACAAAAAGGTTGCTTAGGTCTGGTTAGTGCTGCTGAGTCACGACTTCCGGGTTAGCGCCATCGGCTAATGGCGGATTCCCTCCGAGCTCCGGAGGGAATCTGCTCCGCAGGATTTGGGTCTTGCCGCTGCGGCGACACGGGGACCCTCAGAAATCACAGGTGCTGCAGCCTGTGAACCTGGTGACCCGGCGGGCACCATTTGTGCCCCCCCCGACCCGTGAAGGAGCCTTTTTAAAGGCTTCGGAACGGGGGACAAGGTGAGCGGCGCGGTGCTGAGAGTCGACTGCTCCTCCTGCGGAGTGAAGCCGCGAGCCATGGTCAGAGAGCACTGACTTCTTCCTTTGAACAATTGGACTTTAAAAACAACAACCCGTGAGTAGTACGGAAATTGGATTTGCAAGGGAAAATAATTTTTTTTAATTAGGCACGATCGGGGAAGGCGCAAAAAGGAAGTCCGTCTCCCCGTCTTGTAAATAATTTAAAGCAAGGACTAACTAACTAAGGTCGAGAGAACGTCCTCTTCTTTATTGAGTAAAAGATATTAATTTCACGACTTGGCAGTATAAGTAATTTTACTGGAGGATAAGAGCTAATTTTGAGAGCTGAAGTGCCACCCCCCGGACCCGGGAGTGATCCGCGAGAGAGCCTGTTGAAGAATAGAAGAACAGCTGTCAAATTAGCTGTCAAGAAGGAAAAAGAGAACTTTGTTTCTGCTGTCTCTGCTGGTATATTTGTTACAATTTGGTTATTTTGTTGAAAACAAGGAAGAACTGATACAAATAACTTGATTTTGGATTTGAACTGGAAGGAATATTAAGTAACCAAAATCCCTCTAGAGGGGTTTTGGGACATTACAAGAATGGCTGAAGGAGGAAAAACTCAAGCTAAATTGGACAGAGTGTTTCTTCTCTTGGGAAAGTTACAAGGCCAAATTGATGTTTTGGCTACCAATGTTGCAATTCTGGACTTAAAAGTAAACAAATTCATTGAATTTGATAAGGACTTGACTCAGGAAGTACATGCAGCTGGACAAGAAGAAAACTTGAGAGATTTGAGAGTGTGGAGAAAGAGATATATGTTGTTTCTGAGGAAAAGGAAGGAGGATGTAATGTTGCAGATGACAAAGGAGAGCCAGAGGCCTGACATGATGATTACAAAGGAAAATAAGAACTGGATGATGAAAATCTGGTCTGAATTGGAGATTGAAGAATGGAGAGATCTCCTTATGTGGAGATCTGAAGACCATGGATTACAAATTTGATTAAGGTGGAAGTTGGAAGCTTTTGAGACATTTGGACTTAAAAGGAGTAAGAAACAAGATTCGGGCTCCACTTTTAAGTATGGAGGCCTGGCTGGAAGAAACATGGACCCTATCGGGACAGAGCTTCTCCGAGATTTGGTGTTTAATATTAAGGACTTATCAAAAAAACCGGCAGAGAGGAATTGAGAGAGAATTAAGAGCCTCGGACGTGAGGTCTCCAGGCTGATAGCAGACTAAGACTGATGGACATTTGTTGGGGATCGAAAACTGGGAAAGGGGGGGTGGGGTTTGGGAATCCAAAGGGTGTACAATTATACTCTGTTTTCTTTTTATTCTGTTTTGTTATTAGTATGAAATTTGGGGAATTCGTGGAAGGGAATTTGGGTCGACTTTAGAAAAAGGTTTTAAGAATGAGCACTGAT